ATATAAAAAATTTACTTTTTATTATTGAAATTACTAAACATATATTAATAATTGATACACAAGTTATTAGCCATTGTTGGTAATACCAACTTACAAGTTAGTATAGTTAGCAAAATGAATGTACTTTACCAATGAATGGTGATTGATATTTATCTACAGTATATATGCAAAATAATTGAGAACTTAAGTAATGATTTTTATATTAGTTTTTTACTTTATTTAATATCTCTTTTGATTAGAAATAATTGATTTTTATTTAAGTACTATATTTAAAATTTTGATTCATAATAAAAATCACATAATTGATTTTTTAAAAACCCTTTAATTTTTTCCATATTCTAAATTTTTTATATATTATATAACAAATAGTATTTTTTAAAATAATTGTTTTATTTTTAAATATTTGATTATTATTTTATTGTAATCATACAATTATGGGTTCATTATTATGATAACAATGATTACTATTATTAATATTATAATTAATTAATTATATCAAATAATTATTGATTTTTTAGTTTTTATAATTATCTGCAAATGTCATTTAATAAATTATTATCAGATCTGTTTATGGCATCTATTTATCATAACTTTACAATTAAGATGCTTTATATTATATATATATATATATTATCTAATTGTTACAATAATATAATCACAATTTACATGTAATACATTTAAGAATAATATAGATATTTTGTAAATAATGTAAAAATTTTGTTTATTTTATACGAATTATGAGAAATATTGTACATATGATAGTAATATGAGTTTATATTATAGGAATATTCGAAATTTATTGACTTTATTTTTTGGACCACTTTTTGTTTACAAAAAATATTATTTGATTTTGCTATTTTAATGTACATTATATTAAATCTCTATGTATAAATTATAATATTGTTTTGTAATGTAATTTATAATATTGATGTTAAGAATTTTTAAAGTAATATTGATACAATATAATTATATCTTATTTAATATTATACAATAAAGATATATAAATAATTATTTTAACAATATATGTTTGTATTATAATTATTGCCACATTTGACGGCATATAATGCTTTTACTAAGTTATTGCCTTTAGTATCGAATATAAAGTCAAATTATTTAATTATTAAAATTTATTAAATATATTGACTTATTTTGTTTTTAATTTAAAATACTAATATTAATAGCACCGGATTTAATGATTCAAATTTGGGATACAGACTGAATATGATAAACAATTAATATAAAGCTGTTTGTTATCCAAAGTGTTGATCATTATTAAAATATTTAAATTGAATATTAAAAACGTTGTAAACCATAAAAGCGGTCTCATATACGGCTAAATCAATGAACTTGTGTTTCATTTAATATCTTACTTTAATTGTTTCAATGTCTTTCCAAACAAAATAAAGGGTCGATTACTTGTAAGATCATCGATAAAGTGGTCGCTTTTAGTCAAGTCATAGACTAGTAATTGTTTCATTGGCATTGAAGTTAACAATGGCAACAATTCTTCACTTATTCCTATTAAATGAAAACAAATAATATTAATTTTTTATATAATTTGTATATACTATATATATATATATACGATGCTATACTTTATATTATACGTAAACTAAATAAAAATAATTTAAATATTATTAATATTGTTAATGTAAATCAGTAGAAATATGAAGTAAATGTAACAAAAAATTGATGTCATAGTATGTCATACTATAGTTAAAAGTAATTCAGAGATAAACTGAATAAGCAGTATATGGAGTGGAATATACAGTGAATTACTTGTATATAAAGAAAGTATATATTAGTGCCATTAAGTGATAGTTAGATCCGAGTATAGTTGGTATAGTCGGTGGCCTTTAATCTTATTAGTGGTTGTGTCCCAACTCTACTTCTATTCAATGACTGTCTATATATTAATGCATTTTAGCGTAAAAACCGAAAGTACTCTTCAAATACGATAACATTAATATGTTATGCGTTTGGGAAACACTGTCACAGACAGACAGACATAGTAAAGGGAGAGCCGATTATGTCTCACTCTTATATTATTATTATTATTACTATTATTGTAAGTTTCCAATAAAATATTCTCTATTAATCTAACAGTTTTTAATACATGTGTTTATAGAAACAAAAAATGCATTCAATTTTGTTGCTTTAAAACACTTTTGGGACTTTTTTCAATTGAATCGGCGTTACGTTATGAATGAGTTTTATTATAATCATAAAATAGAGATACAGTACTGATTTATTATTCTAATTTAAATCATAACTTATATATTAAAACATTAAGTTAAAAAACTATGATTATTGTATAAATGTGTATATAACTATTGTATATAACCGTAGATATAGTGTATATATATATATATATATATATATATATATATATATATATATATATTGTTTATAAATATGTTTTGTGTGGCAAACTTAGTCGTTAAGTATAAACTAGAATTATATGATAAATAATTAGTGAATCATATGATATGTTGAGAGATGAGCTCTGATTTGGGGCACAATATATGGGAAACAAGTCTGGAGTTCACTGGTTTATCTCCAGATCACGCAATGACTGTTTAAACGTCAAGAAAGTCGACTGTTTTATCACGAATGGGAGTCTCCGATGAATAAAACAACTTTTTCTCTCACATCTCATACAAACTCTCTCTCTCTCTCTCTCTCTCTCTCTCTCTCTCTCTCTCTCTCTCTCTCTCTCTCTCTCTCTTTGAATACATTTCATAACTTTTATATAATGAATGCATAGAAAAGTTTGACTCTATTGTAGTAATAGAGTGCATGTGTTATGAGTAGTGTGTGATAACCGACTCTAAGGACTGAACATATATTCAATCAAATCCAGTGTCGATTGGCTTTGCTTCACATCATTTGAGTCACATATCAAGTAAATGTATAACAACTCAGTCGGTGGGCCAATACATACAACAAATCAACCAATACTTCAATTATTTATATATAAAATCCAACAATTTATAAGACTATATGAGATCAAACATCATTGTAGTTACTATTATTGCTAACACACCACTTGGTCTTACATAACATTCAATATAATTTTTTAAAGTTTTATTTATAAATATCAAATACAGTCAGAATGTGTTCAACATATAATATATATATATATATATACTGTATATATTCAACATTAAAATATATATATAATATGTTTGGTGTCATTTTTGGCAGCGCATAGACAGCTGTCTATATAATTGTTTTTGTGTATAGAAAATCATCTCAATATAACAAACAAAAACATTAAGATTAATATATTAAAAATATATAAAACTTACTTCTTTAAGAGTTATATATATATATGTATGTATGTATGTATGTATGTATGTATGTATGTATGTATGTATGTATGTATGTATGTATGTATGTATGTATGTATGTATGTATGTATGTATGTATGTATGTATGTATGTATGTATGTATGTATGTATGTATGTATGTATGTATGTATGTATGTATGTATGTATGTATGTATGTGTGTGTGTGTGTGTGTGTGTGTGTGTGTGTGTGTGTGTGTGTGTGTGTGTGTGTGTGTGTGTGTGTGTGTGTGTGTGTGTGTTGGGTGAGACATAATTGCCAGAACACAGAACACTGTAATCTCTGTTCAATGTCTTTATGACTTTTGACAAATACAGACCTTATTTTGTTTTAGTGTTTGTGTTAAATATTTTTAATTTTTTTAAATAAAAATTAAATTATAGTCAACTGTTAGCATAAAGATATTTACATTAATAAGACTTAATTGTGTTATAAAGTACGCCAAATGTTTCAACAATAAAAACAAATATAATGCCAGTTTAGAAATATTTTAAATACATAATAATTATATATAATGTTTTAAATCTAAATATTATAAATTGCTAAACAATCGAAAGCATAATTTAAATATACAATTCAATATATAATAAATATCAAATTCTTAGTTTTGTTTTATATTTGTTTTATTTTATATATTAAAGGTATATCTAATGATTATAAATATAATTTAAATTAATGAGAAATTTTTACAAAATTATATCTTAAACTATATCTAATTAAGTAATAATTTTTTAAATATTTATTATTTTTAACAAATTTTATTAAATTTATATATGATTTTATATATTGTACTATAAGCAATTATATATACAGATATTGAAATGCAAGTATTAAAAACTAAAATAAAATATTTATTTAATTTTACTGATGACACATGTATTTTTATAAAAAAAAATAAGTAATGTATAGTATTAAATGTATTATTCAAATTAAAATTTTAAATATCATAAAAATTATTATAATATATGCAACAATTTATAGTAATAAGTTTTAAAAAAACTATTGATAAATTTTAATTATAATATATTTAATCCATTATTTTCATTTATTACATATTTATTTCTAATCATTAAAATTTTTACTTTAATATATTTTAATATACAATAGTTAAAGTAATATTTAAATTATGTGATTTTATTTTAGTTTTGATTACTTTTAAAACAGTCACTTGATTTAATAACTGTCTATTAGATTTAAAAAAAATAATTAATTAAGCCTTGAATTAAATTATTTACAATAAAAATATACTTTTTTATAGTTGCTATGTTAATATCAATATTAATCAATATTAATACAGTATAACTTATAAGATAACTTATGTTAATGTTTCTATTATATTAATGATAATAAAAATAAACAAAACAACTTACAAATATTGATAACTTAAGCTATTGATGGTATAGTGTCCACCAATATAGATGACATTTGATCATAAATACCATTATTTATTTATCAGGTTATTATTATTATTATTATTATTATTATTATTATTATTTAGATGAACAAAATATTTAATATAATGGCACGTATTTTGTGATAATATTTAGTAATACATGTTATATCATAAATTGTGTCCAAAAATGGCTAAATTGGAAATCTCTTTATAATTAATATTAGTATTTAAATAAATTGTATAAATAATATGTATATCATTGTAATGGCATATACGGCCAGTTGAATGAACTACCGCTGAGCAACATATCTCTAATTAATGTCTCGATTGGAGTCTTTCCGACTAAACGCACAAAAAACAACTGTTCAATAACTTGTGAGCTGACTGTCCTTAATGATGGCAAACGAAGCAATAGTTTGCCAAACCTTGTCGGTTGGTTTGGGTATTGAGTCCGACAGTATTCTTCAAGAGCACACTGACTCTTCTCTTGAAGACTTTCAATATGAGTCACATCTGACAGTCCACACGCATCGGTGGTAAAGAGGACAATGGCTTTTAAGCAGCTGTATTCAGCGGCGTCCACGTGAAGAGCTTTTAACTTTTCTACCTGTTCTTGAAAGATGCGAATGTGATCCATAAAAGCAACCACTCTATCAGCCGCCATAGGACTGGCATGAAGTCCTGCTGCTGCCAGTAAAGGGGCCACATGTAGTGGCATTGAGCACTGGGAAGCATTTAAAACAAATAGTTCACTCCATACAAGTCGGAGAAGTCCGACCTGATCTGTGACTTGAAGATCGGGAAAAAAAGGTATATTGCGGGCCCACTCAACGGCACTGAATAGTAGTCTAGCGGCCAATTCACACATGTTATCGATACCCATAATATTATTTGGTTGCATACATTGTGAGAACCGGGATGCGGGATATGGTTCGGCTCGTAATAGTAATGATATAAAACTTGAAAGATATGAGTGTCCATTAAGAGAGTCGCCGTTTGTGAGCGCGACGCCCATCTGTCCAGTCAGTGGATGTCCGTGTGTTGGCGGCACACGACCTCTCTGAACGGCTTCTCTTCTCATTCCCATTTTGAGGCACTTCTTTAATCGACAAAATTGGCATTGATTTCTGTGGTGTTGATCTATTGGACAATTTCTGTTACCTCTGCACGTGTAGTTCAGATTGCGGCGGACACTGCGCTTAAAAAAAGACTTACAGCCCTCGCATGTGAACTGCCCGTAATGTTTACCACTGCTCTTATCACCACAAACTACACATTCAATATGTTGAGCACTTTTATCACCCGAAGAAGGCGTCGGCGGCTGTGCGACAGTGCCGTTGGCTGAAGAACTGCTGTGGAGGTCACTCTCTATTGAACCAGAATGTGATTCTCCACGCCATGAGTTGATGGCTGACGCTACCAGTGCCATACTGATGGTCACAATTATAATAATAATAATAATATTATTATTACTATTATTATGGTTAGGAATGTTTCGTATGGTATGACTAATAATAAGCTAATGATTATTCTTGTAGTGAATCCGTCTTTCACTTCACAAATCAAACTTTGCCTTTCATTTCATTCATCATTATTTGTATTATTATTAAAAAGATTTCAGGTTTCACTACGAGTCCAATACATTATAAATATATTATTTAATTAATTCAATAAAATTACATATTTATCTTTAATTCTTGAAATTTTCATATTTTTCATAATTATTTTTATTAATATTATTAAACAATAACAAATTATAAAATAAATGATTAAAAAATCGACACATTTCTAATATTTAATATTAACTAAATATTTTAAAAAAGTAAAACAAAAAAATAAAAAAAAGTCTTAAAATATTTGTTGGTTTGAAAAACTTGTTAATAAAGAAGTGAAGTCAGAGTTGTGTAGCATTGAAGACATTGAAATACAACGAGACTGTTGTGGTCTCACTCTTGAAGTGACTCTCTTGTAGTGTTAGACACCACTCTCTTGCACTGTATGTGAACACTGGTTATAGTAAACTCCCCCCAACTGCTGCTAAATGATGATCCCAAGGTTAAGTTGGTTGAGGTCTGCTTACTGATAGGCAGGCCTTACTTGTTGTTGTTGTTGTTGTCTTCATGTTGTTGTAGCCGTTGCTGACTTTGCATTGTATACAACAATATCTTTAAGTCTATTAAAGTTTGTGCGTAAGTCCCGCACAATACTACTTAAAAAAGAGGCCTCAAATTGCACATACCATTAGCGCATAACTATACCAACAGTCTGTGGTGACCAACAGTGATGACCAAAATGTCTAACACTTGACAATCAAAATAATAATTAAAAGCATTAATGATTTGTTGCAATCATATGATTATTAGTTGATAAGTACTGAGACTTTATATACTATAATAACAAGTTTGATGATAATGTGTGGACAATAAGTATAGTAATGTAGTAAATAGTATACATATAAATAAATGTTATGAATTGCTTCAACAATATTACGGTCAGTTAGATAAATGGCAATGTGTTAGCACTGGGATGATAGAGGCGACGCGTGAAGAGTAAACGCCCTGATCTTTGGAAAAGGAGGTACAATATGAGGGCATATATTCAGAGAGTGGTTCACATCTTTGTGTTTAGTGTTGATCTGAACCTTGACACTTGATTGTAGCCATGGATACTATAGTGGATATATCATGGACTATAGTAGTATATTATGATATGCTATGGTATGGTATGGTATGGTATGGTATGGTAGGTATGAAAGTTTGTTTCAATAATTAGGAGCACCAGAACTGCAGAGACAAAGTCTGCTATGGGTTGCCTTTGCATGGCTTTGCAGTTCAACAATCATATTAGCGGTTATAATGGCTGAGAGTGGCGGTCGTGGCCTCAGGCAATCAGGGCATGACTTACAGCACTACCAGAGCTCACCGATCAATGCTTATGCCATTGAAAGCCATTGTAAACCAACGCAACGCATGAACACCGCCCCTAATATTCAGACGTCAGACAATCAAACAATACCAGTGATGAACACAACTAAATAATGATCACAAGTACTGACACATTGGCACTGGCATTAACACCAACATTACAAACAGTACCAACATTGCCAACATTGCCACTATCACTAACTATGTGCTGACATTACACAATCCTTTAACTATATAACTGTTAATGACTGCACTTAATCTGGAAAGGCATCCACTGTGTGATCAACTAATCACTTATCACTAGTTTTCAAGAGCTATCCTACACTTCATTAAAATTACTATTTTATCAAACATTTTGCTATTAATAAACATATGAATTGAATGACATGTTTTGTATTTACTATAAGACAGCAAAACTCTTAATTTATTAATATTTTTAACATTGATATCGATTGATAACAAGAAGGTTGCAATATATTTATATTTAACATATATATAATAAACAATGAAAGTAAACATTCATTGCATTAAATAGAAATAAATAAAATTTAAATAATATTTTCACTATTAAATTATATGACAAAATGCATAACACATTTGCACTCTCTGTGACCGACTTATAATGAAATCATTTTTAATATCAAACAATTGCTGTATTGGTTTGTGTTGTAGTGTGGGTTTAGTCAAAGTGATGCATAACTGACTCAGACATTATCGCTGCAAACCTCAAATATACAGCAATATAATAGTTTAATATATGCCATCTTTCTCTTTCTATGCTCTCTTTTACTCTCAAAGAGAGAGAGAGAGAGAGAGAGAGAGAGAGAGAGAGAGAGAGAGAGAGACGGAGAGTTTTATCCCCTTTAGGAGAACCCCCATTATGAAAAGGGACTCCCGAAGCGAAAAATATTAATCAAAATAGCCTGAAATATATGCATATATAAAGGGGAGGCAAACCACATAACCGCACGATTTAGGACCGTATATGCATTTACATCCTTAGCCTTATATGCATTTACTACTGTAACTGCTTTACTCTCTGTGCTCCCAATGCCTTATGAAACAGAAAATATATAATACTTTACTGTATGTGCCGTCTCTTTAAATCACGAAATACACGAATTGGCCAAAAATAAATTCATATGAAAATGAATTATAGAAATGAGTCGATCACTAGACTTGTATATATGAGAAACAATGGTTGAATCAGATATAGACATATATTGACTGAGAGAGAGATTGTGTATTGTATTGTTGAGAATCTCATATATAATATGAATGTGTTATAACAGTGGTGTTGAACGCATTTGTTCAACTAATTTCAAACTTATATATAAATGTATTATACATACAATATATATATATATTATGGTTGATAATGTGGCAGATGTGAAAGTGAACAAAATATGATGAAATCAAATATTGAATATTTATAAGTTATAGTTCACAAGTGCCTAATATATATATATATATATATATATATATATATATATATATATATATATATATATATATATATATATAGAGAGAGAGAGAGAGAGAGAGAGAGAGAGAGATTTGAATGTTTGAAAACGTAACTCTCATAAAGTTATAAATTATATGATATATCATAAGTGGAGGCAAATCACTACTTATTGAAAAGTGGTTAGAGATATGAGTTCTTGGAGTCTGTTCATCAAATCAGTCATCCATTTATGTGCTCATCTCAGAGCACATCAATTAGCAATATTAGTAATACAGGCAATATAACCCTACTATAGATAAACACTATTCCCTATAAACCACTTTTTCATACTCTAAATAGTACACAACATATCTGTGTAGTCATTCAATATCTAAAAGGGTTTCCGATTTTTACTCTCCACTAGAAATATAATAAGTGAAGAGTGAGCTCATGGGGATCATTGGGATCGTTGTGTTTATTATAATTCTATGGTCAGTGGTAGTCAATGACAGGTCTATTTGTTAGTGAGCTAAACACAATTGTTATAACATTTGTAAACTAAGTTTATTATAAGCGTTATAACAATACAATAGTCGTACAACACATTTGTTCAAAAGCTCTGACTTTCATTTACTATATAAAAGATCTTTAAAATTGATAACAATTTAACGCATCAGTCATTAAAAGCCTGTTCTCACCGAATATTCTTTAAATACTTGAAGTATTTTAATTTTTTGCACTTGTTTTACATAAATATCAAAATATAACTTCTCTTTTGACCATAAGTTGGCTCCGATATGGGAGAGATAACATGGAATTTCAACCATTCATCCCTTCCCTCTCTTTTTACTAAATATACTTTTCACAAATATATCTACACACACACACACACACACACACACACACACACACATACACACACACATACACACACACATACACACACACATACACATACACATACACATACACATACACATACACATACACATACACATACACAYACACACACACACACACACACATACACATACACATACACATACACACACACACACACACATACATATACACACACAAGTAGTAGCAGATAATAAATTGTGTGTGTGTTTGTGTTTGTAAAATATATAGATAGAAAAGGGAAACCTATTATCAGTGGAGTGTAACCAAAAGTTTTTATTTGTATATCAATTGAATATAGCATTTGGTGTTAAGGTTGAAGATTTCGGTTTATAACGAGCACTGATAGCATAGAAAATCATGGACTCAGTAAATGTGACTCTTTTGCTGAAATGACAACAACAGTGAAGAGCAGGAAATGAGAATTCGGTCGCTTTATTGCTCACACCATTCAAACCAATTGTCAATTGCTTTGTTTGTCACTTAAATATATATATTATAAAAACTATGTTATGTTCACATCTTTTGAAATAATGATAAAATTGAAATTTATTACAATTCTATTTTTAATGTTTTTTATTATGTATTTTAACATCTAAAAAATATCACTTAATGATTTCATAAAAAAGCATTTAATTTGTTTTTTAATTACAAATAAAAACAATATAAAGTTAGTTAAGCAATAAACACATTGGAATATAAATATTATATATAATAAACCAATATATTGTAAAATACTGTATGTATGCTAAAAGTTTGCAATAATTTACTTAATCAAGTGAATACATAAACTAAATAATTATAAAATATTTGAATATTGAATTAATATAAACATATTGAGTGTAACACTGAGAGATTGTGACAAAACAATAAGTCACAGTCGGCTAATCTAACGGAAAGACCAAATTAATTATTCACAAAGCATTTAGTACTTTGGTTTTTGTGGCACAAACTTTAGGTATTTCTCTTATATATTATATGCTATTTTTATAATATACACAAACTCTAAATATAATACATATTATACTGTACTGTATATACAATATATAAACAGTATTTAATACACCAAATAATACATTAATAATAATACTGTAAACTATTTACGTGTTGTAACATATAATCACTGTTTGACACTTTATGTTAAGACTAATTAACGTTTATTTGATTGTTATTTGTTAAAACAAAACAAAAAATCATCCGCTAATTATAATTATGTAATATATTTAGTGTAAATATATAAATATTTTAAAAAATTAGTTTTCAATAAGATAGTAAGTTAGGTTAACTAAAATAATTAA